GAGGCGTTAGTTAAGGTCGCCTCTTGCCTTGCCCAACACCAAAGTGTTTACTTATGAAATCCCTGAGTATTGCGAATGAGGACGCTGTAGAGGACTGTCCCCCTGCTGACAGTCCATCCGTTGATGTCTCGTTCATCCTACCGAACGCTCCAGTTCACATGGAGATAACTGACTCAGATGTCTCGGACGGCATTATTGAACCTCTCCAAATAAAAGGCGAGTCACAGGCTCCTGGACCAAAAAAGAATAAGCGAAAGAGGCTAAAGAAAGCACGCAATCCCTCCGCCCCCAAACCGGGAGGTGAGAAAACGCCCAAATGCAAGCGCCTGAGCTGGAAACACTACCTGGTGCTGAAATTCCCTCAGCTTCGTCTAAGGCTGTGCAGCCGGGGGGTGAAAAACACTAGATGTCCCCGTCGCGTGCTAATCAAACTGCGGAGGTACTCAAAACACCTCGCCCTGTCTTCCGGGGGTAGATATCATGGAGTCGGACATCGACGTTGAGCCTGTAGGACGAAAGAAAAATCGGAACAGAACTGCCCGTAGTCCTCAGGCCAGTTCGAAAAGCGTAAAGAATGATGAGTCAAACAAGCTGAAGCGTAAGACTTACGCTACGGTTGCTTCAGCGTCGGCTGATATCATGCGCCTTGTCTCATTGGCTGCTGCTAAACCGGCTGCTGTTCACGTAAATTCAAAAACTCATGGGGTAAATACACCCCGTCGAAGTGATTCTTTATTGGATAGCAGCATGATATTCCGTAACGCAGTGGAATCCACTGCCGCACTTCCTGTTGTACGTACGTTGGACAACCTAGAGTGGTTTAAAATGTGCGTAACGTAGCTTCTTCTTCCTAAGTTTCCCGGTGTTACTGTCAGGAAACTGACTAGTTTGGGTAACGCCCTAGTTAACATCTCTGACCTTCGACGGCTCTTACTTCGTGTGGTCCAATCTACCCCAGAGGAACGCAACGCGGTTGCAGTTTGCTTTCAATCTAAAAGGGTACTAATGTTGGTGTTCAGCCAGACCTTCCGCTAGCAGATAGGTTGGAGCTAAAAGCGACCAATGAGGACGTAAAAACCAGGCGAGCAGCCGGTGAACAAGGCCTCCGGTTGGGGGTTTTCTGGTGATCAGCCAGAAGTTTTTCCGCCCTACCAGTGCCAGTCCTGGTAACGCACGACCCATTGCTGGACATTACGAATACTTTCAGATAGTGCTAAGCACTGTACAGCCTAAGATGTGCGAAATAGGTCTGCTTGTAGATGGGTCTCATCCCGATATACTCGCATTTACTGAAACGTGGCTATCTCAGGACATCACGGACGATGAACTACATCTGTCTGGCTACGCACTATTTAGATGTGATCTCTTCGTTGGCCTACAAGGTGGGGCGTTTCGCTTTACGTTAGCTGTGAACTAGACGTTTCGTGTATCTACATGTTTCAGTCGATAAATAAAACTGTCGAAGCTCTGTCGGTATTGATAAGCACTTTCTCGGCTCAACTTATAGTTATAATTGTGTATAGAAACCTTGGGATTTCTTCCAAAGAGGTGCTTGAATTTATTCGCTCACAATCTGCAAACAAGTGTTTTTATACTGGGTGACGTCAAATTACCGGAAGTTTGCTGAGCAGATTTTTCATACAGTTCGGTGGAAGGTACTTTCGATGCAGATCTTCTTGAGCTTCCGCTACAGGTACCGTTGCATCAGTTCGTGGACCTCTCTACTATGTTTGTGGATGCCCAAGTAACTGTCTATTTTTGACCTAGTTTTTTCCAAGTCACTAGACTTCGTAGGTGACATCCTTTGCAGCTCTCCCTCAGGTGCCAGTGACCATGTCTGTTTATCATTCAGCTGTTCTCTGACCAGACATCAGATCATTGCTGAACCAAACATATGGCGTGCTAACTATGAGGCAATGCGTATCAAGGCTTTTGCGTTGCGTTGCGGAATCTCGGTGGCCGATACGTTTCACGCGGCCTGAGATAACTTTATGTCTTATCTCACGTAAGTGTCTACTTCCTACATTCCGCTTGCGAGGAGAAAAGAGACACGAGCATGGCCCCCGTGGATAGATACCACTGGCAAGTACCTACTCCAGAAGCGTTCTAGGTGCTGGAGGACCTACCGTGCGGCTCCATCGACTAGCACCTATGATAGATACCACGAAGCTAGAAATAGATGTAAACAACACTTGAGGAAAGCTCGACTGTTGTACGAAAAGGGATTGGCTGTTGGAGCTTCAGAAAATCCGAGGTTCTTCGCTTATGTTAATGAGGCCCTATGGTTCAAATTCGGTACTTCCAACTTTGATGCGGTCCGGTGGAACAGCGGACTCTGACAAGACTCGTGTACTTGGTGAGCAATGTACGGGGGATTTTGTACATGAAGCCACGTTGACATGCATTGAACTTGTCACCAGAGTCCCTGCGGATTCTTATTTAGCTGAATTTACTGTGGTGGAAATGTAAGTCCTTAGGCTACTGCAAGGACTAAACCCTTCTGAAGTAGATGGGCCTGATTCAATTCACCCAAAGTATCTGCATGAGTTGGCGGCGAAACTAAGTGGTCCACTGGCGATGTTGTTTCAAAATTCACTTGACAGCTGTACCTTACCTTCTGAATAGAAGGAGGCTGTCAACTGTCCTTTCTTCAAAAATGACGACGGGAGTCTGTCAGTCTAAAGTAGTCACCGAAAGGTTAGCTGTCTAAATCCTGATGATAAGCTTCGGTATTGCTTGTTCCGTGCTCTCATGTGATGTGTAAAATACTCCGCAGACGTCAATGCTCAGCCACAGTCGTTCTGTTCATATTCTTTGCACACGATGGCTTTCAGGTTGCTGATCCTCTACTTTCCTATCTGACCATTCGTGTCTTTTCACTTCTATTTTGTCTTGCTAATGTCTCCATCGGTTTGTTTTTGCATCCACGCACTCTTCTCACTGGCTGAACCGAGGCAGGTCACTTTTGGTCTATGATCCGTCATCGACCATTAGCTACCCCGGTCTACTCCGTTGTAGTTCATCTCCCAACACACATGCTGTGTGCCTCAGGTTTGGCTTCTCTCCTCATTCTCGCTACTTGTGACATTACATCGACAGTCATGAAACCACAGAAACTGCAAACGTACTGTATGGATGTTATCGTTCGCAATCGTGTTCAGCGCTGTCGCCTCATTGCTTTTACTGATGCCATTTGAACATGTGCTCACTGTACACCTGCTTAGCAACCAAACTTTTCTGATCTTTGTCTGACTGTCATTTTGGTATATTGTAAGTGTTGCGTTTGACCTTACTACCTAACCAGCCTGTAATTTCAATGGAAATAAGACAGGTTTTTTTTAAAATAAAATCCTTGATGTGAAAACACATTTAGCTGGTATTTAGAAAATGAGCAACAGTTACTTGCACCAGGTTTTCTTCGAGTAATCGGGATCACTATGTTTATGCCTTAATGAACGACTTTTAATGTTCGGCATATAAATGATAAATTTCTGTTTTCGGCCGTAACTGTAACTTTTGATTGTGGGTGTGCAGCATTTGTGCTTATTAAGTTATATACAGACGTATGCACACGCATCTTTCACACGGGCAGCTGTTCACACATCAGAAACGTCTGCTTTTATCATTTTCACCTATCTCACCGGAGCACTTATTTGCTTTCACACACTAAATTCTGTACTATTTTTATATGCATATTAGACCATCTTAAAAGTAAATTCCGTAAAACAAAATAATTGCTTATTCCGAAAACCGAAATCTTAAGCAGATGGAAATTGGGTGTTGCCCACCCGAAAACACTGCACAACCACGACGCGTTTCGATGTAATTTCATCTCATCAGGTGGAGACAGCAGGCCTCGATCGCGCGACCATTGGAATAGTAGCCGAAACCACTACCCCTTTGGCTACCGCGTCACGGTGGGCAACACTTTTGGCACAACGGTAAATGACTAATTGGAGGGTCAAGTTTGGACTACACGTTGTGTGATTGGATTGCGACACGCAATCTCAATGTAATGGGCTGTGATTCACACTGAAATGAACCTTAAGCGTTCATATGAAGGGAATTCTTCTTTTCTCGTCCAATCTTTATTTAACTTTTCTCCCCACGGTCTGGTGGAACGCTACCTCCTAGCCAGATAAACCTTTTCAACCACAGTGTTTTATGTATCTTTTTATAGGCAACATTAGTTTCTTTACTCATAGTCTATATTCTGTGGATCTATCTGCTCATGGTTCTTCGCTTCCGCAACGACTACTCTGCACATTTTTCCACGAGCCCATACACTCCGTCAGTCTGATCGTGTTCCATCTGTTCACCTCATGCTTGCATTTTGCTACCATGCCTTGGGGCTACGAGCGTTGGATCCACAGCTTCATTATACGTGTGCTGCTGATGATTTTTGATACGCGCCGTCGGATTCACTAATCATCTTATCTGAGCAAATGTTAACACTTGAGGGAATTAGGTTAAATGAAGTCGGTTTATGCCATCCTTTATTCTAGTCTATTTACCTACTTCGCAACGGCATTAATTAACTTGGTGCAAATATCACATTCCTAGACCCTTGTTGATTTCTTCGGATTCTTTGTTTCTAAACGTCTATGCCTGTTAAGTGCTTGGAAGGGATTGCTCTTGGCGATGCATCATTTCGCTAATTTTTACTGAGTTCTCCACTGAGGTTGGAGTGACATGTTTAGGCGACTTCCTCACCAGGCGAAACGCTTGCCTTGCCTGTCCCGATACTACTTTTCCTACATTCTATCTGCTTTGCAGCATCCCCGTTGAAACTGATCACCTGGCCTCGAGTGCTCAGTATACCACCAGCGCAAACATAGAACCACGTTTGTATCATTGTCTCAGGTTTCGAATCCCTAATGTTTAGCTCAATCCATTATACAACACACCGTTTACTGGACTCATTTTATAGTTAACGCTGCTTAATTAAGTGTTCCTTCAACATGGTTAAGTGGTCTATACATCCATCCATCTGTTTGCAGCTACGCCATTCCAAACAAATTCTGGGAATTAATGGAGCCCTATTGCGCTGAACTCACAGAGGCCAACATTAGCTTCCTTGAAGGACTCATTCGCTCCTATCAAGACATGGAAGCCACTTATTTCCAACTTCCATCGCTGCGCTCACCGGATGTTCCGAAGGTGGAAAGCTCTGAATCTCCAGGTTGGTTTCTTTCATCGCATCAAACCACTCACCAGATTAGGGATGCTGCATAACTTTTTGTTTTTACGCACATGCCTGCGATGCGAGTGAGTTTTTCGATTGATACTGCGGGAATGTTTTCTGTGTATTCTCCCCATCATTAATGTCAGCATTTCTTCCATACCAATCTTTTGGCTTCTTGCAACTTCTGTTCCTTAAATCACTGAGCTACCGCTTGTCTATCAATGTGCTAGCATACATGGTGAATGGAGAAGCAACCTAACCCTAGTGCTCGCGTTAACTAAAATGGGACATCACCATGTGCTGCGAAGTTCAAATGCGGATCGCTTCACTTGATCACTGTTCACTTTGTCTATTCATTTTAACTGATCAAGTCTTGTTATCTGTAAAAGTGGGACACAGTACTTGCCATCCTAATCTTCAGAGTTGTGACTTTACAAGAGAGTAACAGGCGATGCTTGATTTCAGCTAGAATACTAGATGGAGCATTTCGAATCGCAATTCAGCCGACCAGATGTGTCACAATTCTTGACTCGATCACCTGAGATGTTGATGTAGCGACTCCCACCATCGACGGAATCTGATGCGAGCTATTGTTCCTGAGATGCAGCAGAACGTCTTTCCCAGAACACCTTGCACTATTGTTGCTCAAGGCTATTGGCGATTCATTTACTTCCGTCTTCGTCCCTTTGCTACTGTTCATCGCAAAGAAGTAACCTCCTGCTGGTGTTTGACAATCATTATTCCATCTTTAAAAGGTCCAGCATTGCCCTCTGAATATCAGCATGGTATATCTCATCTCAATCGTCTACGGATCATTGACATCCATCTTGCTGTGGCAATTCGCTAATCCTCATGAATGATGGATCAGCGTGTCTGTCTAATTTCATTCCTAGCAAAGTTTACTTTAATCGCCTTTCTACTCTTTATCAGAGACTAGCATGTCACCATGCTTACAAATAACCCACCATTGTGCTCTCCTACTACAAGGGATTCTCAGTAGGACGAAGCGATCGTCCAATGCCTTACTTTATGCATGGCAGACTCACTGGATGCGAGCGGATTGGGAGGATTTCTCTATATTCTTTGCATTCGTATGAACTTTTTGTCCTGATATATGTTCGCACTTAATCCTAGTTTGCTTTCCACCGTCGTCGTTTGTTCTCATTGTTTTATTATTATTATTATATTATTATTATTCGTTGTTTTTGTTGTTGTTCTTATGTTCTTTTGTGTCGTAGTTGCACTGTCTTTCGCACTTTGGGGCTTGAATCACGATTACCCCAACTAGCTTGAGTCGCACCAGTCATTGTCAAAATCTGAGAGAAGGCAGACATCATAAGCTCGGCGACTCTGTATAAGCGTTATGTTGATGATTTACCGCTAATCTGATTCGGATGTGGACATCAAGCATACGACCAAGACTGTCGACAAACTGCACCCGAAGCTAACAGTGCGTGTGCTAATGAGCAAGACAATTGTCACCCGTATTTAGATGTACTGATTACACGACGACCGGACGGTTCCATCAGAGGATCTGTTTACAGGAAGTCAACCTGGACTGGTTAGTATCTGCATTTTACTAGTTTCTCCCCTATTCAACACAAACGCTTTCTCGTCCACACACTCTATTATCGGGCCTGAATGATCTGCACACCTGACACCATACATTCCAACGGTTACCCGTTGTAGTTCATTAAACGTGTCATTGAAGCAATCAAGCGAGCTCGTGTGCCATCAATTCCGAAGAAGCCGATCATCATCGAGCTACCTTTCAAAGGTGGCCATGTTATGAAGGTCACAGAGAAACGGATAAGCGCTCTGCTAAAGGGAGCCTACAATGCGGCGGAACTGCGGGTGCTTCGATGCGACTTATGCTAATGTGTTCGAGTAAGACATCGACGACGACGTAGTGCACGTCTCACTGTTTATACCTATTCACTTGTAGCTATGAAGACGGCTACCTTGGGCGCACTGACCGGAGTCTAAGTGTCAGGACCGATGAACACATCCTCAAGTGGTTAAGCAACTGGATGGGATATGTGACGACGGAGTCGGTTGAATCGGGAAACCGAGGTGCCTCAGCAATCACAAAGCACTTGCTTACCATTGGGCACCGAGTCAACACTGTTGCGCCTTTCACAGTTCTAATGCGCGATCGGCGACTCCACGTACTTAGGTTACTGGAAGCTATCATTATTGAGCGCGAACGACTTCCACTGTGCATTCAAAAACAGCTGACTATGGCTCTAAACCTACCCTGGTTGCATAAACGCTTGGCACTGTGTTTGTCCGTTTACCTATCACTGTTGCATATGTTATGGTTGCTATGGATGCACGAAATTGCGACATCTGCTCTCAAACTAGGTCTTCTGATTTTCATATCCAGTAAATCTAAGCTACCAGATGGGGAAATCGAAGTTCCCTAGGCCTCACGAGAGCTAAAATTAATGCTCTCGTATATCACACCATCACCTGCGAAACTAAATCGGTAACGGTTGAATGGATTTGATGCTGACGAAGGTTGACGAAACTTCTGGGCACTATTGTTATCGGGATGCCTCAAGTTTTTCTGCATAATTGTGGCTTCAGCCTATGCTTTGTTGATCTGGACGGTGTTAGTTACAACGATGGGTGCATCTGAATTCACGGTACGTCGATACATGATCACAGTTGATGAAGGGTTTTGATCTGATTTAGGTACATACCTTCATGTATTACATCAGGTTCCTTTGCTTACTAAGTTTCGAAGACGTGGGCACTCGATCCAAATTAGCATCGAACTTACCAAAGAGCCTCTTGCTCCAAAAGGTGTTTTTATGTCAGCGTCTCTCCTTGGTTTCTTCACTCACTTTATCCTTCATCATTGCATATGCATCAAACGTGAACGGGTTGTCAGCCAGGGAATCACTTATATATTTATCTTAGAAATGTTAGCACTTACTTTAAGAAAACGAACATAGGTCATAATCTCATCTTTTGTTGCTGCATTACAAGCCTATTCTCGAAAGTACAGCGAACGTAGGTGCACCTAACTGTGAGGAGCAGTTATCATCAACCGTTTAACAGACGTTTCGGAACGACGATGGCCCACGCAACCAAACTGTTAGCATCCGCGGGACCAAGGTTAAACTAGATGGATTTAGAATAATTCTCAATCATATTAACTGTAAGGAGGTTGCGTAGATTAATGTATGGCATTCCGTCCTACCTTTCCTTCACCACATTAATCGGGTTGAAGTCAAGTCTGGACGTTGAGCTGTCCTGTCATCTAGATGTGACCACACAGCGAAGCGTCTTATCACGAATTTATCCATGTCGATTTTTATAAAACATCAGGACCACCTGCACCTAATTCTCCCAACGATTTAAAATGGGAAGTCTTTATCAACGGCGTTTGTTTATCCAAATAACCATGGCGGTTCTTTCTCCGATAACCTCTGTAACTTTTGGGGATTTTACGGAATATTCTTATGATAGATATATTTTCTAATCTGACAAGTTGGCTGAATAGAAACTCGCTTGTCTGTATTAGTTTGTCTATGATTATCATCGGAATCGCAACACTTCCTCCTTTTAGATTGACTTTGTTACCCCGTCGAGCCACATCTCCACCATTCTGCCCGCTTTCTCGCGCTGTTACTTATTTATCGTGGCTTTGTTAGTCTCATTGTGTGCTTTTTACTACTTGGACTTTGAATTTGGTGTGCCGGACGACTGCATCAATCCTTAGGCCGTAACATTTCACTGGCTTTTGTCTCGTCATCTATCGCATGTTTAAGATTGTAAGTCGACCTCATTGCCTTGTTCTCCCTACTAAGCTCACAAAAGGCCTAGACGTGAAGCTGTCCATGCAAGTAGCTACCATTCTGCCACGAATGCAGTAGTTAACGCGGATGGACCGAACAGCATCTTCGCAACGACTAGCGGAATACAACGAGCACAACTCCTAGAGGCTGAATTGAGGTGAGAGTTCTACTTCGCTTATTTAATTGCCCACTGCTCTAAATTTCTGATCAAAGGTCCTTGATCATGAAATCTACTCACTCTGATCCTGCAAGCTCCGACATCATCTGTCATCTTTTATGGAAATTTACAGGAATCCTATTCCCGAATCTTCCGCTTTGTTCAAGCTCTCCTTATCCCTATTATCGTCATGTTATCAGGAGAATATTCTACTCGGTTTTGCAGAGGGAATCAAGCGTCTTTCAGACGAATGTGAGTCCTCCTTCCTATTTCCATAAGCGATTATTTTTCGTCTTTGAGCTTTGCTTCTGCTCAAGTGGGTTCAGTCCTACCACTGATTTATGTGTCGCACATCTAATTAGATGAGGGCCTGGTGCCATCCTTTGCTCCATGCCATTGAGCCAACTTCTGTGGCGTTACCTTTTTTGCCACCGTAGAACTAGGGAAATGGCCCTATCACTTTTTTCTGCGGATTCTGCATATCTTCTAGTAGACCCTACAGCGCAATGTTTCGTCGCCCTAGGCCAATATGAACATCCAGAACTATTAAAAGATGTTTGCTTTTTGTCGTGTGCACAAAACGACTCCTACCACGAGCGAGCACAATCTGATTGTCTACAAGTTATGGCATGGTCCCCCTGAGGCTATTGTTTCGCAGCCGTTAACAGTCCCATCTTATCAACCTTTCCCCCCATACAGCAGATAAACATTTTGGAGCTAACGCAACTGGTTCAACTGATCACGACCAGGATGCTCCCTCTGTTCCATCATCACCAAACGTGTCCAAACATATCTTTGACAATTGTCCCGAATCTACCGCTTTGGGCACTACTTCCCCCGATGGCATTACCAATCCCTTGATCACCCTACCGGATGAGATTCGCCATTGGGTGACTACGAAGGCCAGTCAACCCCTGAAGGTGCTGGCCAAACAGATGCGTGTAAGTTCTTCCTATCGAGTAGAGAAGAAGATTTCTCAGGCAATGGCTGAGTTGGGGATAATTCCGCTAAAAGTAATGCATCCTACAGAGTCCAGTGTATCTAATTCCTTCCATCCACCCATGAAATTGGAGGACCAGTGTTCTTCCAAGTCAACTGCGGATACCGTCACACCCGAGGACAAAATCACCGTAAAATCACCGGATCTTTTGTCTTCACCACGTCATCCTGCTCCTGCTATAAACGTCAATGTGGGTTGTAAAATCCGATCATGCATATCCAAAACCCCAGTTCATTCTCCTTTGAAATCAGGTATGTACCCTAACCTACCCATATTTGATGCTCGATTTTCGGTACTGCCTCAGTATTTGGCAGTATGCTTTCCGCCTCACGGTTTTTCGTCTCAGCCAGTTTTCCCCTCAGCTTTGCACAGCATCTCTCCTTACATCGACCCTGGGGCTACATCATAGGATATTGACTCTACCTAAGATTGAACTACATGCTAAACACGTCATTAATTTAACCGGTCAGATTAGCTCAACTGTGAGCCCTATACATTGCCAACTTCTCAGCGGTAGTGCACCTCGATTAGGTGACTTCAATAGTTCTTCACTGCCGCAGCTTGTTTTTATTTTGTTCGATCACGAGGACCGCATCTGAAGCAGGTGAATATTCGACGATCAAATTGATCAAGATTTACTTCAGGGCGAATCGCGGTCCACATTGCTATTCCTTGTCGCAGTCCATTCAAATGCCTCAGAATGACCATCCAATCATTCAGTAACTCTTTTGACAAGCTTTGCTGACCGCGACTCTGTGAGGTTTTTGCTGACATTCCAATGTTCTCAGGTTCGAGACCTGTTATCTCCACTTAATGAGCTCAAATGTGGTCGAAGCGCGTCGTGGAGGGTGATGTTTTCGGGCGGGTAACACCCAATATTCAAAAGTGTGACCACATTTTTGTTTCCTTTTCTTTTTTTCATTCCTTTTTGCCACCATCTAAGTGGTTTGCATTGCAGTACTGAGCTGTTTCTCACTAGCTAACGTGTAGTGTGCTTATAATAGCTTTGTTACTAAGCTTTCTGGTAGTATTCTGTTATATGGCATGCAGAATTTAGCTGATCACCTCAGTTGCATTGGTGCGACCTTTCTCCGTAGATGGCATTGACAAAATCGACCACACCAGTGTCACGCTTCCACGTTGTCAGCTTCACTCCTGCATTCCATTCTCCTCTTTTCTTCGTACTTCATTATCCCTTCTTGTTTATACGAGGGGTGTTCAAAAAGAAACTGAACTTTTGAAACAGCGCTGCAAACGGCAGTGAGAGCACGCTGCAGCTACTGAACGCATGTGGTGGCTTGCTTAGACATCGAACTGCCATTTGCCGCATTTCGCTCTGACTGTTGGTTGGGGAGCGACTGCCGCTGAAGTGAGCACGTGCATAAGCTGTTCGTCGGCTTAGTGTCAAAGAGACAATGGAAGCGATTGAAGAATATTGCGTGTGTGTGAAATTAATCTACAAACGTAGGCAAAATCTTTGCAGGGACATTTCAATGGCTTATCCTATCATATGGGGAGGACTGTATGAGTCGCACACAGCGTTATGAGGGGGTTTAAGTCTTTTGAATACGTTAGAATGTCGGTCTGTGACGATCCCAAGCCTGGACGACGTTCCACCTCAACAAACGACCACCATGGTTGTAGAGTTCTTACTGTCATCTTGGGAAATCGTTGTTTAACTGTTCGAGAAGTTTTACACGAAGTGGGCGTCATCGGTGGATCATACAATCAAATTCTAGCGCGTTTGTGAGATGCAGTGCGCGGGAAGAGGCATGAACTATGGAAAAACCAGACTTGCATGTCGCATCATGACATGCGCTGGTTCACGCATCGCTCCTTGTCCGCAGCTGTCTAGCAAAACATCACACTCCTGTTGTGCCACAGCCACCGTTTTCTCCGGACCTAGCCCCTACCGACTTTTTCCTGTTTTACAAACTCAAAATCACGTTGAAAGGACGTCCTTTTTAAACCATAGAGAAGATTCAGGACGATGCGACAATAGACCTGCGCGCCATCCCAGCAAATGCGTTCCAGAAGACTTTCCAAAAATGGGAACACCTTTTGTAACGGTGTATAGCTAGTAGTGGAAACTACTTATATTGGTAAAGTGCTTAAAATCTTGTGTAATAAGCCTTAAAGATGTTATAGCAAAAGTTCAGTTTCTTTTTAACGCCCCTTGTAGTTTCTAAAAACTTCCCTTCTTTCTTCGTTTTCTCCACTGGTCTCTGACAACCGGTTTTCGATCCAGACTGTTCCTGTGTTCTTATCATGTTTGATCATTCTGCATTACTAGGAACACCCGATCATTGTATGCTGGTTGTTTATTCCTATGCAGTCCAATGAGCTGCACTCGAATGTGGCGCTTGGAAGTTACGAGTCCGAACCACTTCACCTCGAATCTTAATTATCGTAGACCTTTATTATCCTGCAGCATGCTGCGGAAGCCTGACTCCATCATAACTGAACAATTAGCTCTTGTTCATTTGCTCTTTGGAGTTTTTGCGCATTAGAAGCTGATGCATTATTCCCATACAATCGTGCCTCACGTGCTCCTTCGTGTCCTTTTTCCTAATTGGGGGTGTTTGCCTAGCATCGCACTCCACTCATAATCACTGAACGTTTTCGCGGTTGGTCGTGCACAGCATCGGACAGTCTGAAAATGGTGTAAGCAGACATTTGTACTGGACCATTTACGGTGGCTGATCATGGGGCAGACTACGAAGCAGTACGGCGGAATCCTCTTTTGGTGTGTGTCGCAAATGTCGCCCTCCCTTCTCAAGTTGGCACTGTATTCCCTACCGTATAGTGTCCGCCCGATGCTGACCCTTGATCCTAGTTGCATATTTAATGCATTTCTGAGCTACATTCTGGCTACACTCTACGCGTCTTCCCCCCCCCCCCCCCGTCAATTTCACTGAGCTTTTTTTATCTTATGGTTAAATTGTCGATTTTATGCCGTCACTATGGGCTTGTGGTTAACTTCTCACTTGTTGTCGTCGATTCACTCAGTGACTACATTAAGTGCTAGTGTTTGCTGTCAATGAAATTTTTTGTACATCCTAATCACCCCTGCGTTGCTCATCAAGTCCTATATGTAGTGATTTGTTTGCTTCAGTTTGGCTTTCTTACCACCGTAACTGGAGTTTTCAATTACTCTCTGCTTCACTCTATCTATAACAGCGATGTCCAAAATCCGGCCCGCGGCCTCATCATGAAATAATAAATTCAGGCTTGAACTTTTTCGTACATGTGTAATTCTTTTATTATCTTAATGTCAGACTGAATATGGCCGGGCATATTTTTACCTCACAAATGTGGCCCTTCTTGCTAAAAGTTTAGACACCCGTGATCTATAATCTTTCTCAGTAAATATGACACTTTAAAAGCAACCTATTCTCCGCCACACCCTTTCACTCCATTTTTTTCCTTGATTCCCACACGTTTTTTCGGCATTGTATTATACTGCTTCCTTCGGGTATCTGGTCATTCGTCGTCTGTAGTATGCGCCTCATTCGAAAAGTCAGTGCTTTATTATCTCTGATCAGGCTTTTTCTCTTTCGCGACTTCATCCAACAATGGAAAAATCAAGCTGCAGACCAACTTGACAGGCATGTTTATTTTGTCTCTGCTCCTTAGCCGATGTCATTTTCAGAGAGTAATGTGGGATGGGGTGTAGATCGAATTCCCAATGAAGGTTTATCACAGCCACAATCATACAGCCGATGAATATTTGGAACAGTGTTGTACGGCCGTTTCATCCCTTTGGGAATCGTCAGCAGTGTGGTTGTGACGAATTTCCATCGAAAATTTAGTTTAAATTCTCAAAAATCAGTAATTGCCCGAGGTAGCTTATGATATCAGGCGATGCTGGCCCAGTTTGGGAAGTCCCTGTTCAAAGGGCCATCCTTGCCTTCTGCGCTTCCGAAACGTGCATAGCAAGTGGGGACGCGTATGCACACTGTATCACAGCTACCTACTGAGTCTTAGCGGCTTCTACTTATCCCCCATGACCCACTGGTCTTAACTTCGAACGCAGAAGTGTTACGTTGCGGACCGTAGTCCCACAGAGGCAAATGGAATGCGCACAGCTAACGACTCCCGAAGGAATGAAACGGCCGTCCAATGCTTTTCCTGGGTATCATTTTCACCTAATCTGTTGTCATATCGGTCCATGTACATCGGTTGTTTACAACGGCATGCGTTTGTTCTGCTCAGTTTCCACCCCCCCCCCCCAAAAAAAGTCGGACCTTAACGCCATGCGATTGGTTGCCCCTTGTGTGGTCCATCAAGTTTTGGTGTAGGGTGTTTTCAGAGTGCTATAAAATAATGCATGCCAGGCCATTTGAATTAGCCTGAGACAGCGTACCTCATTCCAATAAACTGTCTTGTTAATTTACTTGTTGCGCTTCTGGTTTCCTAACTCCTTGGCACTCTATCTTCTTTTGGTTTCTTTATCTCATGCTTTTTTAATTCTGCCGTCACATGACGTAATGGATATGGTATCAAAATTTGGATCCCTCTCACTTCATCTGATCCCGGGAATCACCACTCCAGCATTTGTGTTTGTGCCTAGAAAATTCACTACTGTTGCCTTTGCGATCAATCGTTAATTGTTTTGAGGCACCTACTACCTGAGTACCTGCAAATTGCCCTTAACTGTTCACCGAAGCTGCAGTACACATCTTGTTCGCTTTCATATACGTCGCATCTTCCACCCACAATCCCAACAACAAAATCTTGGCTCTCCCCAGCTTCTTTTTCTTCTGTCAATGTGCCATACATTTGTTTCCGTTGTGCACATAGTTTCCACTATTTTTCCGATACCAGATCCCTCTACGACCGGCGACACCGAACTCAACCGCTCACCGGTTGGCGATATCCAGGCAAGATGCGTCGCTGAAAGCAGTCCACCCAGCGGAGCCTTTAAAGCAAACAGCCAACCTTGCAGTTTTCGAGTGCGTAAGCCTCATCGGTCAACTCGGAAGAGAAGATTACGCATCACTCTTCATTCCGCCGCTGTTACCGTGACTCAGAACGGATATCCCTGTGGCACTAGACCCACAGAAGATTACGGTTCAAACTACGTAGGTTTCGCCTAATTTATATCCCCATACGCTTTCGTTTGCTGAATTGCTTCTGTCGCTGGATTGCTTTCACCTTGTTCGCTTGATCCCATCCGATCACGACTTGGTTCAGCGTCCTCAATCCCTTTTTATATTGTCTTTTCTACCGATTCCTCCTTTCTCCAGCGTATTATACTTTGTCTTGGAGCCTATAACTGCGGTTGTTCCGAGCTACACTGTAGATGTTGAATCATTGAACGATTAAGAGGCGCTTACTCACCGGTTTTCTCAGTCGGGGCAGTTGGGCTGTGTCCTCACTTGGTCCAACGGTTTTTAGTGGCACTTTGGGTATTAGGCATATACAGTGAGGTCAGTAGTTTCGAACAGCAAATAATCTCAAGTATATTGTGTTGACATGGGCACGTGCTACACATGCCGGATCACTGCTTGTCGAGAAGAGCCTCGTATTGCTTGCCAAATGTGTCGGGGGGGGGGAGCACAAGGCTCGATGTGGACACAAGTTGATGTAATTTGTGATTAGCTCAAAATGTTACAGGGAAGGGCTTTACTGGCGCATCAGTTGTCTCCTAGTCGGGTTGCTTGTTTAAGGTGTGTACGGTGCTGAGCTATCTTCGGCGTAATGGTTGATTATTACGCGGAACACCGACAGTCACAAGGAAGCTATGTCGCCGATGACACCATATCTTTGCACCATATCCGGCTGTTTTATGACGGGTGTTGTTGATATGATGTAGGCGCCTTCACTCTCTCTTTTTTCTCAGGGTACTTGGATTCTACATTAGCTTCCCTTTCTTTCCTTCTTATTGCTGGATATGAGCACGATGTGCCCAGATGGACTATTAGGCGCAAACTAAAGCGGAGCCTGCGTGCTGACAAGGAAGCCTGGTGGACCAGTCGCGCTCAAGATATGCAGGAGCCAAAGCAGTAGACGATTAGCGCAAGCTCTTCCAGTTGATCCGTACCACTGGTCCCAGGAAACCAGGTGTCAGTGAGACAGTCAGAGACAGCGCGGGTGCATTGATATACAATAATCACCGCCGTATGGCTCGTGCGGAGCACTTCCAAGATCAGTTCAATTTCCCCCCTGCTAGCATAATATGTTATCGAGAACATACGCGACGAGATTGGACGGGCAATCCATACGCTTAGACCCTTGGACTGAACGCTTTAAAACGCAGTTTAATCGTCCAGAGCAACCAGCTTCCATATCGGCCACTGATTGCCCTTATTCTTGGTTCGTCCCCTTAGATCCGCCTTCACGCGCAGAAATGGGACGTAAGGTCAGCTGGACTCCCTTCAGTCCTCTTCAACTTCATGGGACCTGCTCTTGTGGTTAACCTGCAGAACTTACTGGAGAGGCTGTAGGAACGAGAAACTGTCCCAACAGACCATGCACTCCATTTTTGTCCCAATTTTCAAGGGAGACTAACGTTCAGCGTGTGGTAATCATAGAGGGATCAGTTCGATCTCAAATGCCTCGATGTCACTTGTCTCTATCCTTTTCAACAGACTGACTGCGATCTGTGAAAGCCGGATTCGTGAGGAGCAAGCCAGCTTCCACTGAAACGAGACTGTATTGACCACCTCCTCACTTTATGTCAGTCTTTGGGACACCGCCCTATTTTTTGGCAATCCACAGTAATGGTGTTCCTCGACACCAAAGGTGCCTTCGATTCGGTGGATCGATGTGTCCTTTCGGACTTTGCGCTCAGGAAATGTGTTTCCGAAAAGTATTGATTGTAAGCGAGCCTTTGACGGTCCGTTCGGGCAGAGTGAGGGTTTACTTTAAGCTACTAACGCTGTTTAAAATCTGAGGGCTGTGAGACAAGGATGCCCACTGTTACCTTTCCTTTTTGACTTCTGTATTGACGAAGTCACGGAAATTGCGTTCACTGAGCACTATCTACAAGGTGGGAAGGTGCTGCCAGTTAATTGACTTATTGACTTGAAGTGTTCTAAGGGTATAACATTAAGCTGTGACAGCTCATAAACGTACCAAGCTGTGCTAAACAAACTTACACATTTGCTATCAGTCATTTCAGATTATGCTTTGCACCCTCGAAATGCAGGGTCCTTCTCCATGATCGACAGGGACCGCCCCTTGTGCTGACAGTGGTGATCAGTTAGAAGTCGTCAAGAAATTCGACTATATGAGCAATTATATTAGCTCCTGTGTATCAAAAGCTTGAGGTGCTTTGGCCAATCTCTGTCACCCGTGGCGCCGGCGCGGCTTAACTCTTGCCTCGAAGGACGCTGTGTCCGTGCCTTCAACCCTCCTGTACGGTTATGAAACCTAGCCCATTAAGTCGACATACAAAGAGGCTAGCTACGTTCGATCATCGCTACCTTCGTAGTTCAGCTCATGTGGGCAGTGAACGTGTTCGGCGTCGTGTATTTCGTGCAGGAAGAGTGAATGAATCGCTTACCACCGTTATTTCACGCACTAGGCTCCAATTGCTGGGCTACGTGTTGCGCATACCAGCCCACCGACTCTCGCGTTGTGCGTTGTTTGCTCGCGGGGGTTGTGGATGGAAGAAGAGGAGGAAGGCCAAGCAATGACTTGGTCATGAGGAATGAAGTCCCTCACTTGGAAGTTGGTATCGGTTGCTCACTCCCGACTGGCGGGCTGAGGACCGAAGGACGATGAACACGTCTAGCTGGATACACTAGTTGACATGGCAAGGAGCCGGTCTCGATGGCTGTCGCGTTGTGAGTCTCTTTGTCCCTCCGCTCTCCCTTAGCTTCTTTCCAAGCACGATCTCTTGTAGCATCATATTTTACTAAGTGGTAGGTTGGCTGTTTTTCGCATCCCTTAAACTTTAGTATCTTGCTGTTCGTGTGTCTTTATGTATTGCGGGGTAACGAAGTATGTCGCCCTCAGCTAACGTGTAATGGTGACGATGATAGTTCATCTAGGCTAATCTACCGTGGGTATTTCGCGGCAGACAGTCATTTCCTTGCTTACTGGACCTCATCTTTCGATGGGACAGACTTTTACCTCTGCTGTATGTATTAACTCTTGATTACGTCACTGCCGACCATCACCACCTCTCCACTAGATGTTCTAAGGGTATTTTAACCTTCTATGGACCTTGATCTAACTGGCGAATGACAGCGGGCGCCATGCAACCAAATGGGTAAACGGGAATGAGTCAGCACTGGGTGCGCAATCCGTCATGTAAGACTGAAACTGAGACTGTATTTAAGAGCAAGTAGAAAGGTTTCTGTACAACTCTATCGAATTACGCAAAATCAAAAACATTTAGTTGTGAATCATCAGCAGTTGTGTCTGGTCCGTTAGTCATATCAAATAATGGGACCACTCTAGAAAGGCTATTCCTAGTCGATTGTGCAGCCGCAACATCGTCGAAAAGTAAGACGATATCGTCCGCATAAGCAAGATCAACTAATCTTTCACCAGGCATCACTTCAACGCCTAGATCGTGAGATACCGCAATGGGACACTCCATGACAGAGGCAACGACAAAATGGAAAAGCGCGGAAATCGGACCATCCCGACGAACGCCACTTGTAGTCGGAAATCTATCCGACAGGTCATCGCAAACCATGAAGCGACCTGTGTTGTTGGAGTATAGAGCACGTAAGATGTTCACATATTTCGTGGGAACACCTTTCCGCGCAAATATTTCGAACAAATCGATTGAATCGAACGCACCCTTGAAATCAAAGAACACAGCTATTATCGGCCTGTGGTACATGTGGTGCTTCTCTAGCACCTGACGCAGAGTGAATATAGTCTATACAACCAGGTACTCGGCGGAAACCTGCCTTCTTTTCCCTTAGCCGAGATTCCTGCTCCACAGTAAGACGACGGAGAAAAATCGAGGCCAGTCATCATCATCATCATTATACACGTTAGCTAGAGGTGGGAAAAATCTCAGCTACTGTGCCGCGATACAAAGAAGAAAAAAGGAGAGAAAAAATGCAACAAGTGCAAGCCATCTGAGCTACCGGTAACGGATATGCATTGTTCCGATAAGCTACCAGCCGGCTAATATGTAACAAAAATTAATATGTAAAAGTATATAAGGTTAAATAGTGAGATCGTGGTTGGAAGAGACTGAGACTGAAACTGTATTTAAGAACAAGTATAAAGGTTTCTGTACAACTCTAACGAATTACAACAAATCAAAAACATTTAGTTGTGAATCATCAGCAGTTGTGTCTGGTCCGTTAATCGTTTATCCTTGTTCGGTTAGGAATTTGTACTAGTGTCATTATTTCCGGGCATACAATGTCTTCTTTTGGTATTGTATGTGCATCGTTTCACAAAAGCACAGTTTTCCGAAATAATCGTCAATACGGGTTTTAAAACACTTCACAGAATCGGCCTCTATTAATCCTTCGGGTATTGTATTCCATAAGTTTACGATTCTTCGTTCGATACAAAGCTGATGTGATACTTTGTTCATGTTGGGGACCCTGATTTTTTAACGGTGTCCTCGGGTGTTACAGGGTTCCCGCAGGTGCAATATTGGCCGCAGTATGGGGAAGTGATTTAAGTGTAGTACTCGATGGGTCATAATAAGGTCAATTCTTACTCGGCGATAGGATAGTGTGTATAGTCCGAGCCTTTCACAACGTTTTTCATACGGAAGCGTTTGTAGACTCGGTACCATTCTAGTTGCGATATGCTGTATTTTCTCCAGCTTTTCAGTTTCCCATTGGGTTATCGGATGGTAAGCTGGGGCGCCGTATTCAAGGATTGGTCTAATGAGCGAGGTGAATAGACGAGGGACGGTTTCTTCGGACCATGTGGAGAAACTGCGTCTTAATGCCCAGAGCATACGAAGTCCCGCACGGTACAATTTTTCTGTATTTCCTAGTGATCTCATAGCATGTCGTGAGAGAACTCCTAAGTCTGACAGATGTGTTGGGATGGAGCAACTGGCCGTCCAAGGTGTATGATCGAGTGGCTGGACGTCTGGTAATACTGATGAACTCCGACTTGCTTGCGTTAAGAGGGAGTTGCATTTCAG